CACACACACACACAGAGAAATATAAACATATACACATACTCACATACATACATGTACACAGATACATACACATATACATAAACACACACACAAATACATAACCATACACAAACACACACACAAACACACACACACACACACATACACACAGCCACACACACACAGCCACAGGAGAGTTGGCCACCCCGCCAACCTCTCTCTTAACCCTAACCACGCAGGATAAGACACGTTTTAGATTTATTCAGTTTTAGTAAGAGTTTTACGGCACTCGCAACACAATACGGTCATGTAAGTGCCGAAGATTAGAGGTGTTACAAGAGAGTAAAAACACAAAAAAGAAGGAGGAGAGATAAGGTCGATAGATGATAGATAGGAAAGAAGCAAACCACACCAGAGCACCCGCCAACCACCCACGATTAGAGGTGTTACAAGAGAGTAACAGATATAAAAAAGGAGGAGAGATCAGGACGACAGGTGTTTGATGAAAGGAAAGTAGGAGCATGAAACCACACCAGAGCACCCACCAACCGCCCACAGACACGTAAGTTGTACACACGATTCAACAATGCATGTGTTGGAGCGAAAGAAGGTCTCGAATTAGTTACATATGACGGAAGTGTGTCATTGATTGATAGGTCAGTCGGAGCATAGAGCGTATAGTAGGCCTACAAAGTAGCCTAATTCAGGGTGCCCATTGGGGGATCGGGTCTGGTAGGGGCGGTTTGCTAGCCAGATTGAGGGCGTAAAGCGGCTATCGTGGCACAAGCGGATCGCGCCCGACTCGCTGACACAAAGTAAAAAAACAAACGCGTTTGTTTTCGGGCGGCGAGGTGGATGATCATCCCGACCCGACCAGACCCGATCCCCCAATGGGCACCCCGTATTGTCTTGTAATGAGGCTTGGTGCAAGGCAATTGATGGTCGCTTTGAGTATAAATAAATAAGATTCATTGCTACAGCAATTTGTTACAAGCCATATCAGCCAAGCTGTTAACTCCGCAAACAACTTCGCCGAGTCCGTGTTTGAAATTATGTTATAGGTTTAACGCCCCAATCAACACTACTAGGTTATTTAAGAGGCGGGACCTCCTGTAGTTCAAACGTCCGTTTCCGAAGAGCCAAATGGGAAATTCGTAAGTGCCTTTCACAAGGACACAACGTTTGACCAAGCTGAGGCTCGAATTCCCGAACCCGCAATATCACGATTACGGGTCCTGTGGCCTAACCACTAGGCCACCGACGCCACAGTCCGTGTTTGCTGATTCAAATGTTCAGTGAAAAGAATATATTTAAAAAAAACAGGGAATCTTACTACTTTCACTGACGCTGAGTTTTCGCAGAGTCTGAGTTTGGTTGTAGGCCTATCTAGTGTGAATGAAGTATTTCATTACACTCAGTGATTATGTCATTGATATGTAAAACGCTCAGACCTTACACTTGTCTGGGATACAGAAAGAGTGTGTTATTCTTACAGAGTGCCTTCCGTGTGGTACACTGGGCTTAGAATTCAAGCTCTTATTTTGTTTGATGAACCAAAATCTTCCAAAATTTGCAGCGCATTTACAAGGTGGATCTTTCCGTTGAAACATAATGTTTGTTACAAATAATCTATCCCGTATTCCCGACCAAATAATGCACATGGCGATTTGGGAGATTTTGTTTGCTGATACATGATGTAAACTGAAAAAGCAGGTTTACACTTACACAAGACGTGAACCGTTTTGTCATCCTTCCGTCGTGCAACAATAATTTATGTTTTGAAAAACATGATCCGAATGTATGTTCTTCTAGCTTTCGGTCAATTTTGGTGACAACTCAGTCAGTCATAAACAAGAAAGTTATAAACATTTATTTGTTTGAACGAACTTTTGGTTGTGGATGTCAACAGAAAAGTCCTTACAAGGAATCAGGCTTACTCTGCTCACCTCTCTAGCTTCAACAGCACAAAGTCTGCTTCGACTATCAAGGCACCCCGGAAATAGCAGTTCACAAGAGAGTGACAAACATACAAAACAAGTACTGAAGTAGAGGAAAAATGATGATAGTAAGGATGAGGATAGAAAAAGCAGCAGTTCCCTGTTGCAGTTCAGGCACAATTATGAGCATGACATTGATGAATCAGCCCGTTTACAATTCTACTGTGCATAACAACATGTTAATGTCCCCCCCTTTGGGAATGGCCCAAAGACACTTCAGTCAGTAGCACTGCGCGAGAGGGGGGGGGGGCTTCGTATCCACTACGTTCAACATGAATCTTGGGGCAAGACAAGGTTGTCAACTACACCGCTCCAAGACATACCCAATACACAAACGCGCGCACGTTAACACGCGCACACACATACACACATACAAATACACATACAAATACACACACACATACACACACACACACACACACACACACTTATACAAATACACAGGAGCGCCCGTACACGCATACGCACCACACACACACTCAGAGACACATACACGCGCACACACGCACATACGAACTTGCACACACACGCACATACGAACTTGCACACACACGCACGTGCACACACACACATACATGGTATACAAACACACAATTTGCCAGGAAGAAAGCTTCGGAATCTTAGAGGGATAGTCAAAGTCACTTTCCTGCAAAAACGCAAGGCGCACGGATCTTGGTGGATTGTTTTAGTTTTAGAAGAGGTTTTACGGCACTCGCAACTGCATAAGGTCATATGAGCGCCAGAAGATTAGAGGTTTTACAAGACAGTAGGAGCAAACCACACCAGAGTTCGAGGAAAAAGAAGTAGGCTTGCGCAAAGACACAATCATGGTCATAATTTAGCGCAGGGAAAAGGTAAACCAGACAGAAACAACAGAGGGAAAGGAAAGAAGTAAAACCTACTGTACCACTGGCGCCTTCCCATCTCCCAGCTCACAGGTCTGACCCTTAACCCCCCCCCCCCCCACCCCCCCCACCCCACAAACACACCCCCAGGAACAAAGCGTTGAGGGGGGGGTCAAAAAGTCTTTGGTCTAAATATGAATGAATAAAGATACAGCTTCGTAACTTGGCACAACTGGTGGAATCAGGCTCTCGTCAAAATAATCAAAGTGAAGAAACTTGCTTTTTTTCTATTGGTTTGTGAATTTTTATCAAATTTTTGTTCTTTGGCTCAACACCATTCATGCCCATTAAAGAACTCATTCCTGTGTGGATTTTTCTGAAAAACGTTGATAAAAGGCACAAAAAATGTAAATTTTCAGTTACCACGGACTCTTAAGCTAAGGAAATAGGGTGACCTTATTTAGGCCACATATGGCCTAAATAAGCTAAACCCCCCTCCCTTACCTTATTTGGGCCACAGGTGGCCTAAATAAGCTAAACCCCCCTCCTTTACCTTATTTAGGCCACACCTGTGGCCTGAATAAGCTAAACCCCCCTCCCTTACCTTATTTAGGCCACACATGTGGCCTAAATAAGCTAAACCCCCCTCCCTTACCTTATTTAGGCCACATATGTAGTCAAAATAACCAAACCAATGTAAAGCATTGTTTTCTTTACAAGTTACGTTATTATCTCTTTAAAACTCTTCACATCCATTTTCCTTCACAGCCGTATCGTACATGACATGTGATGTAGAATCAATTTAAGGTCCTTGGAAAGGTGACCAGAAAATAACAAAATTATTTTA